AACTACTACATCTCACACAGGCAGTTCCAACAATTTGGTGTTTGTACAACACAGAGGTCAGAAAGACCTGCCCTCCCTTCCATGTTAATGGAAATGGAGTGAAGTGGAAATACCTGATCCTTAACATTCCTCCCTACAGGTATGTGTAGGATTGGGAAGAAATCTTTCTGGGAGAATTGGCTTTCTGCCTCTGTTTGTAAACAGCTGACTGCCCATGTGCCTCCTAGAAGAGGTGAGGGGTCCCAGCTCAGTGCTAGGAGCTGCAATAGCTTCCAAACAGAGAAATCAGCTTCAGAAGGCAAAAAATGGGTTTTTGTTATGGTCAGTCTCCTTTCCAGCCCCCTTCCCACACCCAGCAGTGAAACAGAGGCGGGAGCACAGGTTGTGGGACACCTCTGTAAAACCAACGCTTGGATTTGATGATCTTAAAGGTCTTTTCCAACCTAAATGATTCTGTGATGATTCTATGATTCCATAATTTCATGTATTTAGGGGATCATTCTTCTCTCTCTTCCCTTCTCACTGCATTCAAACCTGACAGTCTTGTTACTGCAAACCATAAGCTCTGTATGTGCGTGTACATGTTCTCTCCGAGCTCTGGGTTCTCATGCCATTTTAAATAGTAAACCAGCATCTGTGCCTGATACACTCACTGAATTCTTTTTTTAAACGTTCTCATTAGGAGCTGTGTAAAATCTTTCCACTGATTTCTATTGGACACAGATGCTTAACGTGCGCAGTACGCTAGTTCCCCGACCAGGGTTTGTTTTCTAAGCTCTCTGTTTGCTTCAGGATTTGGGGGATAAAACTTAGCTCCAGCTGGGAGGAGCTGTGGAGAAATGCTGTGGCTGGCACCCGGCTGGTTTCACACACGCCTGTGCTGGCAGCTCCTGGCTGGTGGCACCAACAGCACCGAGGGGCACCGACTATTGCTATATCGAGTCACTGCTGCAGAGAGTGCCTTGTGCTAGACCTGCTTATCAGTGAAGGTCACATTCCACAACAGCAAGAGAAAACCGAGCAGCCAAGCCTTGCTAGTCAGCGCAGAAGTTTCCCCCCTGCTCGGACTCGAGGCAGAGCTGCCTTTTGTTACGGAGCGGCTGCAGCGCAGCTCGCTGCAATCCTATTAAAAGCTTTTCCCTTGCCACCTTTGCTCCTCCATAGCCCTCGCAAACAAATTCAAGTACACAAGCTCCGTTCCACGGCTGATTCTGCAGTTCATAGAGAGCTCCACGAGTTCCTCGCTAACTAGCTGAAGGTTAAGGTGCCACGGTTGACCGAACAGCAGCAATAGCTCAGCCTTACCCGCAACTCCTCTCCGCTTCTTTTCCTTTATGTCTTCTTCAACTTTGATGTCATCATTCCCCTCATCCTGCCTTGTGTCTCGCTCGGCTCCTCTTCTGCTCTGCTGCTGACAGCCAGCTGTTGTCTCTGCCTTTTTTTTCCCTGTTGCTGGTTGTCCCGGAGACGCGAAGTTTCGTGTTACATGTGTGCCAGAGAGGGAGGGAGGGCGGCGAGGAGCGCCGCGGGCTGAGCGGTGCTGCTGCCAGCTCCCAGGGGCGCCCAAGGGCCGGCACTTGTTGCTGCCTCCTCTCTGCATCTCCTCCGAGAGAGAGCTTTGCTCTTTTACCTTTAAAATGCAGCTTTCCTGGCGTGAGGCTTGAATCCATTCTTTCCTTGCGGTAGTTTGGGGGATTGTTAAAGCAACGAACTTTTCTTTCTCCTGCCCAGTTTCCTTCCGACTCCCGCGGGAAGGAGTTTTTCTCTTGTGTTCATTGGAGGGGCAGAGCAAGAAATTGCAAGGACAGTGCAGCACTGGAAAAAAGATGTACCCTGGACAGGGGAGCAGGGGTGATGCTGAATTCACTCCGTGCCATTGGAGTCATTTACTCTATTGATGCTGTGTATTTTGCTTCTTCTATTCTGGCGACAGCTGACACCGCTGTCTTGTCTCTGAGGGTGAAGTGCAGGTGATGCTACAAAGGATACAAGTCCTTCAGAGAGGTGCAAAATCAGAGTTTCTCATCAACCTCATGATTTGCTCTTCTATTTGATAAAGCTCATTAAATGGCTTTCACTCGACAACTGCCGTCTGCATAACTCATTTCTCCTCATATGATTTTTACCTTTTTTTATGCTGTCACTTCGTGTTTTTATTCCAGGACTTGCTGTGTTGTTGGTTGTTTTTTTTCAGGCAGAATTTCTGATGGCTCTGTGTACCCTTTGGCTCATACAAGGGAATGCTTTTTTTCTGGAATATTTTGGGAGAGGAGAAGGTTGTTTTGGGATATGTGACTTCTTCTCTGACTGTCCACCTACTTCTGCTTAGTTGCAGGATTAGGGCTCCTGTTTTACCTGGTGTACAAAAGCAAGGGCTACCAAACCATGTAGGTGCAGGCAGCAATGTTGTCAGTTTAGCACTTTCCTGAAATGTATTGCCACAGACAAAAAAAAAAGTTAATAAATCTGGTTGTTATTTGCTCTTCATCCTGGTCCATATTGTCAAATCAGGGTAGGATGTCTCAAATGAAATGATGATTTTGTTTAGACATTTTAAACACCAATGGTCAGCTCACCCTGTTGAGAGGTGAGGGGAGACAATACAGTTGCATATTTAAAAGATGAAATAATTCTAGGACGTGTATAATAGTGCAAACTACCATTAATTTCTGTAAATCATCTCTATCCCGTGGGCATTAGTCAGGTGCTGGTGTGACTCAGAAGCTTTCCCCACACATGTTAATGCATAAACATCTGTGTTTCAGGACCTCTTGTGTTGAGTTAAGCATTAATCCTGTGACTACCCCCAACATCCCTGCTGGTAACTCTGTTTTTTTGCCTTTTGACTGTAATTACAGGATTGCAATCTCAGTTCTGCAACTGCATTTCCGTTATGACCCAACTCATGAGCACCGTTGGCCAAAGTAGAGCTGTGGCCCTGAACTGAGTAATTCTGCAGGAAGATACAGGCAGTTACAGGAGCCTGGATGAAAAGGGCTTGCCTTTACAAAAAGAAACTAGAACTCTAAATTCCAGTGACTTCAGAGCTGATTTCTGCTTCCACCAAAGCTCTCCCCTGGGGCTTGTTTGCTTTAAGGGAGAGAGGTGTGTGTGGATGCTCCTCCCCAGCATAAGCCTGGTGAGTGAGCTGTAGGAGTGAGGAGAGGGCTTGACCATTACTGTATGCCTCGGTTAACTCTAATACAGATCAGCGCATGTGAGAGAAAGAGACACGGACTAATGAGAATGCCTGCCTGTTTTCTTTTGGGGAAACAAAAAGCTGACTCGCAGCTCGCTGACATTTCTATAGTCACATCGCATTGGCAGGGAGGCAGCACCAGTAGTTCTGTTGGAAAGGCAGGACAAGGGGATCGAGTGTGTTGTCCCCATCCTGGTCCCCCCACCCTTCCCCACCATTTGAAAGGAGCTCTTTGAGTGCAGGAGCAGAGCAAGGCAGTGTGGCTCTGCAGGGGGATATAAAGGCAGCTTTGTCGTAGCCCTCTCCAGCACTCTACACCGTGCGGTGCAGCGTCACGCTGCTGCAGCCTCCTTACCTGGGCAGCACCAGCTCCTTCCTGCTCCAGCACACACAGCTCACTGCTGTGCTGACACTGATCTGTAACCTGCTCTGTGCTGCTTGGCAGCTCTCCCTCCCAGGCCGTGGGAAGGAGCCGAGCCAGCAGCCGCTGCAGACCCTTGCAGGGTTTGTGTGTGATCACTGTTAGACATGCAGTTATGTTCCCCCCAGACACACTCACACGCAAGTTAAGAAGAAAACTGTGTTTGTTAGATCTCTGGCAAGTGCAGACATGCCTTAAAGAGTTTATAATAAGAATAAGTGAAGTGCTCACTCTCTTACTTTTCCCCTCCGTGACCCACTTCTTGCAGATGAAGTTGGTAAGCCAACTAGGGCACTCCTTGGTAGAGAAGGAAAATTTCCACTTTGTTCTGCCTTGTAGTAAAATAATTCTCTTCTAAAATTACTCTGGTTCTGGCTCAGCTGCAGGATTTGGTCTCTAAATGCCTGATGAAGTAAGTCTTTCTGTGTATCTAGTACCAGCATTTGACTAAGAGACAACTGGCCACCTCTGCTGTGAAACTCAAGTTTTAAAAGCTCCTCTCATTTCTGCTTTCTTAAAAACAAGTACACAAAGCAACTGCCTGATTCTTCTTTAGCAAAATCAGTGTATTCCCTGGTTTAAGTTAGGGAGTGTTCTAGAAGAGAAATTGCTTTCTGACTGGGTTGGTAATGAACATATCTCTGTCACCAAACATTTTTACATAGCCTAAAGCACTGATGTCTGCCAAATCTCGTTTGAAGATTTCTGGAAGAATCTAATCATCTTCACATGGCTTGTTAGCTAAGCCTGGTAAACTGGTTGTGCAATAGTGTATGCACAAATGGACTGGTTTTCATGGATTCTACCCTAACTCTGGCTGCTGATCTGGAGCATATGTGAGCAGATCAGGACCCAGACTATCTTATCAGAGTGGTACTCCCTTGTGTCCTTGGTCTGGACTCTATTTCTGTAACTTAATTTACATTCCTGTGTCTTCAAACATAGATTTCTTCACCTTCAAACCACAAACAATAAGATGAGAAGCTTTCCAAAGTGAAATACACAGACTCTGAGGTGTTGGGATCAACAGGATCTCCTTAGGTATTTATCCTACAGCTATCCTGATAGGACATGGAATATATTTGGCCAATAATACACATTTAATAACTGCTTATTTCATCAGCTGTTAGGGTCTAGCAGAAGAGATTAACAGCAGTGTTTGCTTTACGTGTGGGGAAGTGGAGGCAGAGAGACCTTGTGCAAGGTGCCAGGAACAGACCCTCACTTCTGCTCCAGGGATTAATCCCTGCAATT